AATGGGATAGTTAACGGCAGAGTTCATTTTCGGCCGCGCGTTACGTCAGCCCCGGTGCAGCTAATTGGCATGATGCAGGTCTATCATTGGAGAGAATGTGTCCCGAGGGGTGTTGGGGGGCTTGCCCCCAATCAACCCACCCCTCGGGCAGACACCTAGTCATGGCATTTTATATTGTTATATTACATTGGTTTATTGGTCAATACATTTTTTTGGAGGGGGGGTTGGACCATGTGAATTCCCATAGAGTTTTGCTGAAACGTGGATTGGGTTCCCGTAGAGTTTTTGATTTCTGGCGCACCAGCCCGTAGAATTTCAAAGATGGCAGTTACATCCGTAGAGTTTCATTGGCCGATTTTAAGCGTTTTTTGTGCTAGTTTTATGCATTTTTTTATATTTATTCTTATTAAGCCTGTTTTACCCCATAATTTCCCTGATATACTTCATGCGCTCCCCTGCTAATGGGACTATCAAATCAAGATCGATGATGGAGAAATGGTACTCAATCTCCTGAACGATTCATTCCCTGAAGAAACAACGCTGAAAGGATTTCTGGATTTCCTGCAGAAAAAACAATTTTTTCGACTGTAACAACTCTCTGTAACAATTACCATATTCTTCTACTGTTTAGCGCTGTTATGCTGTTTTCCATCGCATTTCACTTGTATTCCTTGATGACATAGTTGATAAAATGTGTAAGCATCAGCTTCATAATGTGTTTATGGAGTAAATTGGCTTGATTTACGCACAGCAAAATAAAACAACAACAAGAAAATAACTATAAAATGTCTTAAATTTCTATGGGGATTAAAGCCATGTTTCATTTATGCAAGTATAGTTTACGATTCTGTAGTTAAATCAATACAAATACTAAATCATGATTGAATAAAAGTAACAATGTATTTAGTAAGTTTCCTGATCCAATCAAATCTATACATAAAATTTTGTTCATTGTTGCTGTAATAATAACGGGACTGTATTGATTAATTGTGTTTAGAAATAATAGTACAAAACAACACTTAGACACTTGCCAAAGTTTGTTATCTCTGTTATTTTTCACTTAATCTAATGATGTTAATATATTAAAAGAAAGCTTAATTAGTGTACTTTGCAATGCGATGATTACCAAGTCAGTCGGAATTATCATTCTCAATAAGGGTGTTATTCTGTAAAGGTGTGTTTCATTGTTCTGTTTGTTGGATATAAAAGTAGATATATCTGTCTGAAAAGTTTAATAAATGCATTAAATCACAGAGACTACTAATCTAAACCAGATAAAAACTTTTTTCTTTCTTTCTTTCTTTTTTTCTTTTCTTTGCTTTTTGTAATGGACAACTGTAGATGGCAATATCAGTACAAAATCATCCTAGTTCTATTGCAAATATTGAGTAGATAGATATGTTAGATATGTGGAGTCTGAATGCTTATATGAGATATGCAAAATTTGTGCCAGAGTGGTCTCTTTTCGCCTAAACAGCATTAAAAATGAAACGTTCCGGTAATGATCACATTTTAATCTTTTTAAAATATATGGTGCTTTAATCTTTGTTCTTTGAAGTTACGGGATTACAAGAAAATAAATGTATTTGAATTTCTAAAACTAATATTACAGATTGGAGCAGTTATTATTTAGAATTAACAAAATTGGCTTCTAAAACACTATCAATATAACAGCAACAGAACTCAACCAAGTTATTGGTCTTTGAGAATGTGAGCAGAAGACGAGAAATCAAGGTGCTAGTGCTCGTCATTAACTGCTGGCCACACTAATACACTCAGTGAATTGAAAAACAAAAATTATCATAGCAACAGCTGATATGCAAAAATACACAATAAATGTACACAATTTGATAAACCCATATATTCACACAAAATAAGGGAAGTCTGTTACATCAAGGAGTGGGTGAAGTAGCTGGTATATATATTGAGCTACATTTATATTACTTTGGACATTACTCGTGTATCAAGCAAAAATACGATTAGCTTCTCCATAACATTTTCTCGTAAGCGACTCACCCATACCACCCTAAAGAGGGGGAAAAGGACCTATCCCAACTATATGCAGATAAGCAGATTATATTATTTAACAAACAACAACAAATCCTAGTCAGTGAAAGAATTAGAAAATGACATCAGGTGTTGTAAGTCCCATCAAGATCTGTCTGATATTGACAAATAGATCAGATAAAGAAAAGAACTTTCGAAGTTTAGAGCTATTAATGTTTGAATATCCCTCCATTTCTTTGCACCACTCCTCATTATTATTATGTCTCGAAATTTGTCTGTATAGTGTGGCTTTGTACTTATTTTCCCTTCCTTTTGATCTCTCGTGCTACAGCATTTTTATTCTTGTCTTCTTTAACCTATCAGGCAATAAAGAACAATAAAATCAATTGACTATAATCAGCCGAGAGGACTCATAGATTGACAAAGTATAAAACTCCCCCTGAACTTTAGGGAATGCTTATTGCTATGATACCCCAGAATACTACAATATACTGTAATTTGGATTTCTTTTAGCTAATCAAATAACTGTCAAGAGTAATGTATCTATGTGCATACCCCCTGATAGATGCATTATATATCAAGTGAGCTGGAAGGGATTAGCAAACAAGTATAATATTTTGAAATATGTAAAATATTAATTAAAGAATTCAGAACAGACAGTGTCCTTAAGGGGACCGTCCCTGGCCATAGGGGGGTCGGAGTACTTGAATTTTGTTTTTGGTCCTGACATATTGTTACATGTCTGAGGAAACTGCCCTTCGATTGTTAGACTCCATCTCGAACTATTTCTTGGTGTAACAAGGGCATAAGCAACATGGGGTGCATGTGCATTTTTGCTCATTTGAGTTAAATACACTCATTCCAACCATTCCTCCGGCTTATGATAAAGTAATTACATGTTGATATCGGTTCAAATAATGATTGTCACACCTTATGTCAATTCATGAATGATACAATATAATTTATGATAAAATAAAGCTTTTTTTTTTTTTTTTTTTTTTTTTTAGTAGGCGTACATGACTGTTTGAGTAGGCCTACATGCAAAACACGTACTGCATTGAAACGTCAAGGTTGTATAATATTGTTTAGCTATTGATTACCATGTCTTCATATTAAATTTGCAATTATATGCAGGCACGCGTGTGTGTTGTGTTTGTGTGTGAGCTCGTTTGTGTGAGAGTACGCCCACGTGCACTTTTGCGTATAGGTGTGTGCCCTTATGTGCGTGCATGCGTGTGCGCGCACAATTGTGACAATACACATATGTGCGTGCGCTCGCACGTGTGTGTGTTTGTTAGAGTATGAGGTGAAGCGTAGAGGACAGCTGAAGGCAGGCGAACAAGTTCAAACTTGCGTGCGCATGATTGCAGGGGTAACCATAGCATTTAAAGGGCCGCATGGCGTCGCGGGTTGTGTGTCGGGATGACGTCATCGCCACTCCATTTTACATTTTTTTGATGCTGCTCACTAACCCTTTATCCAATCTGAATGAAATAAAGACCATTAGAAAGAGCAACGTCTGGGCTTCCTTTTGGACTGTATGCGCATAATATAATCGAACGAAAACTATGGAAAACA